CGACTGAGGCCGAACATTAGTAGCCGTTGTCAAAGTAGAGAGAGAAACGGGAAAAGGAGTGATGAGAGAGAGAGGAGGGCTTGGATTTTGATTTGGAATTTAATTTGAGAGGGACTTTTGGTTTTTTGAGTTAAATGGGTTTCGGGTTATTTGGTGATTAACCCGATAAGCAGTTAAATAACAGGTTCATTGTATATATGTGGACCGTACATTTTAGTTATCTTTCTGTATCATCTTCTATGTTGGCATGCTTAATTTCTTATTATAACCGGTCGAAGGATATATATTGATTTAAGTAATTAAATGAGTTGAAAAAGATTGTCATTGTAAAAAAAAAGAGTTGAAAGAGAAGAGCATACTGTATAGTGTATACAACAAAGAATGTAGACAGATTTCTTATTAAGGGGCTGTTTGGTTGGTTTCCTAAAAACTAAGAAAAGGAAATCGGTACAAGGAAATCAATAAAATAATATTTTTATCCATTTCCATCCCTAAAACTCACCCACAACATCCAATAAAATATTATTTTTATCCTCCAACTCATCTCATTTCATCTCTTTTCTTACCTTTAAAAATAAACCAAACACAAGAAATGTGTCACATCATCCAACTCATCACATCTCATTTTATCTCATTTTAAAAAATCACACATATCATCCAATAATATTGTGACAACTCATCTCATCTCATTAAACATTCCTTTCCATCCATTTCCTCAAAAAAAAACAAGAAATCAATTTCTTTAAGTACGTGTCACATCATCCAATAATATACCTCCAACTCATCTCATCTCATCTATTTTCTTATTTTTAAAAACGAACCAAACACAAACAACCTCAAAACATCATCCAATAATATACCTCCAATTCATTTCCTTATTTTTTTAACCAACCAAACAACCTCAAAACAAGTTTTTTTAAAAATCACTCACATCATCCAATAATAAGGTGACAACTCATCTCATCTCATCTCCTATTCTATAATTTCCTTCTTTTTAAGCCAACCAAACAACTTCAAAATAATTATAATAGGAAATAGGTTTCCTATTTTTTGATTTCCCACTTTTTTTTGCCAAACGAACAGCCCCTAATTATAAACCTAAGTTTGAAATTTAACTACGAAAATTAATTCAGTCTGCACTTTATTAGAAAATCAACGTACTTTCTGATAGTTAACTACTCTACATTAAGAACCCTAGGGGGGTTTTTCTTTTTTTTTAGGTGCAAAAGTACCTGGGTTGCGGCTATATCAAATATTTTAAAATGGAGAAATTTTTAAAACCAACCATTTTTAAAATTTAATGGGCAAATTCGACCTATACGAAAAAATATTAGCAAAACCGACCCTTTTCAGAAGAAAAAGGTCGGTTTTGCAGGGGAGGGGTATTTACGAAGTGCACGGGACTAGCAGTCCCGTGCATTTCGTGTTCAGAAACGAAGTGCACGGGACTAGCAGTCCCGTGCACTTCGTTTCTGAACACGAAAAGGTCGGTTTTGCAGGGGAGGGGTATTTACGAAGTGCACGGGACTAGCAGTCCCGTGCATTTCGTGTTCAGAAACGAAGTGCACGGGACTGCTAGTCCCGTGCACTTCGTTTCTGAACACGAAATGCACGGGACTGCTAGTCCCGTGCACTTGCTATGCACGTTTTTGTGTACTTTTTGGCTGTATTTCAGGTAGTCCCTGTGCATACATCCACACAAACTTCCTCTAACAAATCACATACTCATTTCACCACTGGCAGTCCCGTGCACTTGCTGTGCACACTTTTGTGCACTTTCTGGCTGCATTTCAAGCCGTTCCTGTACATACATCAACACAAACATCAACTAACAAGTCACATACTCATTTCACCACTGCATTTCATGTAGTCCCTGTGCATACATCCACACAAACTCCCACTAACAAATTACATACTCATTTCACCATATACTCATTTCACCATATACTCATTTCAAATCAAACAAATCACATCACACCACAAACTCCCACTAACAAATCCAACATAATAACACCACAAACCCACTTAGAAATCAAACAAATCACACGATAGTATCGACTACAAATCCAAAAATCACATCCCTAAATAGTTTTGTAATGTATATAACCTGTAGTTTACATTCATCCAAGAACTCTCCTCCTCCTCCTTTGTCTTCATCATCCTCCATACCGCCCTTCGACGAGTTCGTGATCCGGTTGCGTTTGTGGTTGTGACGGTCCAATTCCATCGTCAACACGTTGGGAAGGTCCAGCTTCATCGTCATTTCTGTGTTGTCCTCGTCTTTGTCGCTATTGTCGTGTATATACGAATGGCGTTACCTCCCATCCATCATGACGATCTTCGTGAGTTCGGTGTAAGGCTTAGTGAAGCCTTTGCATTATGGCTTGATATATTGATATATGTTCATGTGCTTCGGGATTTCTACCTGCGATAGATAGTTCAAAAACAAATTTTGATATTAAATTTGATATTACAGAATGTAAATTTTAGATTTAATTCTTTTGTACCTGCTCGAGCCAATTCTAAGCCACGATTTGCAAGAGTTTGAACTTCATCTATTGCTAATACCTGCAAATTTTTTAACACATATTAGCAATATTGAGCAATACCAATAAAAATGGACTTAAATCAAAATATGAAAATACTTACTAATTCTCTCTCATCTATACCCCAGGGCACATATCCTCTTTGCGACTCAATCAGTATTGTGGTCGAATGAAGTATCCATCTTCGGGTTATGCCCCAATACCAAGTGTAGTAATCTGATTCCCGAAGAGTTGGTTCAATTTGGTTAACAATACAAAAATGTCTATCATTCCATCTGTGTATAAAAGCTTGATGCATGATCATCCAGTTTATTTGTTGGCCTCCTTTCTTTGCATTCGTCTCCATCTTTTCAACAAATTGCGGAACATGTTGTGCACGACCAAATTGTAGAAGCACACGGTCCGGTACATGCATTTCTACTATCTCCAAACATATAAGAGGAACTCTAGCTCTCCATACAACTTGGTATTCTGTGCATATTGGGGGTAGCTGAGGTAGAAATTGGGTGTAGGGCTCCCATTCCATCTACAGAAATTTAATGCAGTTGCATATCAGAAAAGTAATTCACATTGTAGAAGAAAAAGTGCATGTTTTTAGGGGAGAATTACCTGAAAAATCTTCATACGGTCAAGCTCATTTCGGTAGAAATCTAATTGTCTAGATGGGGTCTCGTCATAACATTTTTCGACATTCCATCTACAAAAAAATGTTGGTCATACATTGAGTACCATAATGATAACTACAGTTATATTCGCTACATAAAAAATACAATACCTGCATCCCAGTGGAATTTGTCCATCTAATTATAAATGTGTGCATAGTCTCGGCTTCAAATGAAGTCTCTCTCATGCTCATACTTGCAATAAGCTTAGACACCCTTTAAGCTCACTGTTTTGCATAAGTGCCACTTTTGACATCTCTCTATATAAGTACGCCAAAACGGCACTACCGCACGATTTTGTACCACATGCGTCCAAGTCCTCGAGGAGTGGTAACCACCTAGCATATTCACAATATTCTAATTTATTAAAATAAGCTAATTCAATGAAATACAGATTCATATTATAAATACACATACCTCACATGCACTTTATCTTTACTTGAATCTGGAAATAATATAGTATCAATCATGAAATTACATACTGATTTCACCACATACTCATTTCAAATCAAACAAATCACATCACACCACAAACTCCCACTAACAAATCCAACATAATAACACCACAAACTCCCACTAACAAATCCAACATAATAACACCACAAACTCCCACTAACAAATCCAACATAAAAACATCACAAACTCACTTAGAAATCAAACATATCACATGATATTATCGACTACAAATCCAAAAATCACATCCCTAAATAGTTTTGTAATGTATATAACCTGTAGTTTACATACATCCAAGAACTCTCCTCCTCCTCCTTTGTCTTCGTCGTCCTCCATACCGCCCTTCGACGAGTTCGTGATCCGGTTGCGTTTGTGGTTGTGACGGTCCAGCTCCATCGTCGACACGTTGGGAAGGTCCAGCTTCATCGTCATTTCTGCGTCGTCCTCGACTTTGTCGCTGTTGTCGTGTATATACGAATGGCGTTACCTCCCGTCCATCATGACGATCTTCGTGAGTTCGGTGTAAGGCTTGTTGAAGCCTCTGCATTATAGCCTGATATATTGATACATGTTCATGTGCTTCGGGATTTCTATCTGCTGCGATAGATAGTTCAAAAACAAAATTTCATATTAAATTTGATATTACAGAATGTAAATTTGAGATTTAATTTTATCGTACCTGCTCGAGCCAATTCCAAGCCACGATTTGCAAGAGTTTGAACTTCATCTATTGCTGATACCTGCAAATTTTTCAACACATAAAGTACCAATAAAAATGGACTTAAATCAAAATATGAAAGTACTTACTAATTCTCTCTCATCTATACCCCGGGGCACATATCCTCTTTGCGACTCAACCGGTATTGTGGTCGAATGAAGTATCCATCTTCGGGTTATGTCCCAATACCAAGTGTAGTAATCTGATTCCCGAGGAGTTGGTTCAATTTGGTTGACAATATAAAAATGTCTATCATTCCATCTGTGTATAAAAGCTTGATGCACGATCATCCAGTTTATTTGTTGGCCTCCTTTCTTTGCCTTCCTCTCTATCTTTTCAACAAACTGCGGAACATGTTGTGCACGACCAAATTGTAGAAGCACACGGTCCGGTACATGCATTTCTACTATCTCCAAACATATAAGAGGAACTCTAGCTCTCCATACAACTTGGTATTCTGTGCATATTGGGGGTAGCTGAGGTAGAAATTGGGTGTAGGGCTCCCATTCCATCTACAGAAATTTAATGCAGTTGCATATCAGAAAAGTAATTCACATTGTAGAAGAAAAAGTGCATGTTTTTAGGGGAGAATTACCTGAAAAATCTTCATACGGTCAAGCTCATTTCGGTAGAAATCTAATTGTCTAGATGGGGTCTCGTCATAACATTTTTCGACATTCCATCTACAAAAAAATGTTGGTCATACATTGAGTACCATAATGATAACTACAGTTATATTCGCTACATAAAAAATACAATACCTGCATCCCAGTGGAATTTGTCCATCTAATTATAAATGTGTGCATAGTCTCGGCTTCAAATGAAGTCTCTCTCATGCTCATACTTGCAATAAGCTTAGACACCCTTTAAGCTCACTGTTTTGCATAAGTGCCACTTTTGACATCTCTCTATATAAGTACGCCAAAACGGCACTACCGCACGATTTTGTACCACATGCGTCCAAGTCCTCGAGGAGTGGTAACCACCTAGCATATTCACAATATTCTAATTTATTAAAATAAGCTAATTCAATGAAATACAGATTCATATTATAAATACACATACCTCGCATGCAATTTATTAAAATAAGCTAATTCAATGAAATACAGATTCATATTATAAATACACATACCTCGCATGCACATTATCTTTACTTGAATCTGGAAATAATATAGCACCAATCATGTGCATAATGTATGCACGTGCATGTTGGTCAACCAATATTTGTGGGGCATCAACAGGCAACAATACTGAGAAGGTCTCTCTCAACCACTTCAATTTAATATTTCCTCGAGACATTGATCCTGGAGCTACACCTAACAACTGCTCACATCTTGTCGGACATACATCACTATCAGTGCCGGTAATGCACGGACCATCTATATGGAGACCGAGTATCACGGCTACATCTTGTAGAGTAATGGTAGCCTCGCTCATTCGGAAGTGAAAAGTATTGGTCTCAGGTCTCCATCTATCCATCAACACGGTGAGTAGGGGCCAATCGAGCTTTATCCAACGAAGCTTTGAACAAGTCAAGAAGCCGGCCCGTCCTACTGCGCCGCGATAGCCCCGCTTTTTGCCGCTTTTTACAACACTGATCAACCATAACGATACTCGGACCTCTCTGTACAGCAAATGATAGTATAAGAATGCAATATTATGTAAATGCAAATATTGTAATTATAAAGTAACTGAATTACCTCTGTACAGGATATAATATGTGAACGATGCTGAGCCTGGTCATATAAGACCTCATCACTAACCGGCCCAGGATCCATGGTGTACAAACCTGCACATATAATTATACACATGCCAAAAATCAATCAAATAGTAATTCAATTTCTTTATTAAAGTATATAAAAATAAAAAAAGTATATAAATTACCAATTAGTTGCTATCTATTGTGTCTAGATGGACAACGAGGTCGAGTATGTCCCGGTTGTTTGCAAAGACTACATTTTTTATGCTTGACAACTCCTTCTCGCCCTTGATCCATGGTTCCCCTAATTCGCACAGATCGTGATCGACCTGCTTGTCTCCGGTACTGAGGTGGAATTATACGTGGTCCATTATATTCAGGCTAATACCGACTATCATCAGGTGGATGAAAACTCTCACTATATGTCTTTTGATAGTGAGCTGTTGAATACCAAGGCGAGCAATACCGATTATAGAAAATTCTAGCACCTCCCGGCTGATTTGAAGAAGCCGCAAGCACATGTGCACAGGGTATTTTTTGGAGTTGTGGTATGTTACATGTGCAAGTGCAATCAACATCAAATAGTTTAACGGTGTAGATATCGTCACAATCCTGTACTTGCCATTCGTTGTCGTTGAATACAATAATTTGACATGATCTTGCTGCCTCAATTCTTCTATGCAAAATGGCCTCATTTTTTGGTGTGTAACGTGTTGTCCAGTCTATGCCATCTCCACGCTTTTTGTTGAAGTATGCGTTTAGTCTATAGAACGTTCTCGCAACCAAAGATTGTATTGGCATAGCTTGTGCTCCTTTAAGATCGCCATTAAAGCTCTCGGAGCAATTAGTCGTCATCATGCAAAACCGCACACCCTCATCCTTACATAATGCCCACCGATGCTCGAATTGAGGCTTCAAGTTATTTTCAATCCAATTATGTGCATCTAATGACAAAGACTTGATTTTCGCCTTGCAATGTTCATACACTAATGTGTCGGTTGCACACCCAGCTTGACATAAAAGATTTTGCAAATTAATCTCACCGTATTTTTTCTTGAAATTATCTCTTATATGCCTTAAACAATATCGATGGTGATGTGGTGCACTAAACCCTCATGTAACGCTCTTATAATTCCTTCCATCCTATCCGAGATAAAAGTAATTATTCTTGGCGCACAGACACTTGGAATCCACTTGTATATAAGTTCAAAAAACCACTTCCAACTAGACGTATCCTCTACCTCCACGACTGCAAATGCTAGAGGAAATAACCCGCCATTTGCATCTACACCGGTCGCTACAAGAAGCACGCCTTTGTACTTTCCATATAAATGTGTATCATCAATGCTCAATAGCGGACAACAAAAAGTAAAGCCCTTAATAGCAGGACCAAATGCCCAAAACACTCGAGTGAACCTCTCCATACCCGGTGCAATCTCTTCGGATAATATTTTGTATTCAATACCCGGATTATTTCGCTTGATAGCTTCAAGATACTGTGGAAGTAATTCATATGATTTTTCCCAATCTCCAAAAATTTTAGACAACGGTTTCCTCCTTGCATCATATGCCTTATATTTAGATATCTTAATCCCTCGCATGTCATATACCCTCTAAAATATCTGACCTGCATTCAGATCAAGTTCAGCTCTAACTTCAGGCATAATTAGCTTACATATATAAGAAGAAGATGCAGAATAATCATCGACATCCACCGACGGGTTGCAACATGTATGAAGTCTAATATCTAGATATTACAAATTGCCCATTTGATGATTTTCTCACGGCGGCATTTAGTAACCAATGACATTTTCTATTTCTCTCATCTTGCTCATTTGCGTTCTCTACTTCAATCTTATCGTTAAAGAAGCATTTCACATTGTAGTTTGTTGCATAGTTTTTATCGGCTTGAATTTGACCCGATTCTTGATGGACCATTCTCGAATTGCAAAGATCAGTGCCTCCTTGCTCTCGAATAGATCCCCTTTTTTAAAAGTGAAGTCCTCAGGTCGTTGTAAATTTGGACCAACATCAACAAATCCAGCTTGAGAAGTATTTATCCAATCCTCATTATGAAACTCGTCGGGCAACGGATCTTCAGCTTCCACATAATCATTGTTAACATTAAATTACTCCATCCAATGGGCGTCATCATCGATTCCAGCTGCCACATGCATGCTATCAATTTGCACGCCATCTTCTTCAATATGATCTGAATCATCATCTGCTTCATCTTCTATAATTGCTCCGATTGATGGGTAACCTGTAACATGACCTGAAGCGTCGTTAAATATATTAGTTGACGTCCCACCGATAGAATACTCACTTAAATGTTGTGGTTGATACCACAGCTCTTGACTTGGAGATGTCATAAAACCAATCGACTCGTTGTCTAAGTCAAGCATCCGAGAAAACTCTCATTGAGGTCGTGAAACTTGGGCAAATTCCTGAATCGGATACTTCTCAATAAACAACTCAATTGACGCTTGCTTCTCGACTAATTGTTTCATGTCATTCAATTCCTCATCGTCGGTAATCTCCATGGTAATAGTTCTACTCTCATTTATCGGACAGTTTAAGAACACCCTAATTGCATATTCTTCTTTCTTAATTTTAGTAACTCTGTGTATTTCCTTAGTCATTCCATCAAAATTACACGACTTAGATAGCATGAACATTTTCCTAGAACTTCCATCATACATAGGCAAATTATTCACTCCGGCGCCGAGGCTAGGGCTGAGCATGGTTCGGTCCAAACCGAAAAAACCGACCGAACCGACCCAAACCAATCGGAAAAAATCGGTTTTATGAGTAGGGCGGTTCGGGTCGGTTTGAAAACTTTTCAACCCGAGCCGACCAAATATAGTACAATACTACCCATTCTGATCTCAAACCCTACCCGACACGTCCCCAAAGAGTCAAAAACTCAAACCCTAAACTAATTTTCTGAATCATTATGGGTTGAAAAGAATATCATTATATCAGTGTGTAATGCTTCATAATCTCCTACTTTGTTGATATATTTTTTTCTTTAACACAATTTATTGTTTGATAAGAAGTTTGATGAAGTTAGAACCGAACAAACCGAACCGAACCGCACCGAACCGACTTGCAACAATTCGGTTCGGTTTTGAATTATAGGTGGTTAGGTTCGGTTGTTCAAATTTTGGAAAAAACCGAACCGAACCGACCATTGCACACCCCTAGCTGAGGCTCCCATTGAAGAAACAAATAATGGGTATGGAGTTCGTCATCAAAACTAAAAATCAACAGTCCATCGAAACTGAAAATCAACAGTCCATCATATGCAAATAATCTATTAATAACTGAATAAATCAACATCAAATTTATTACCTTAATCCATCCCAAATAATGGCTAAACCCTAATTATTATTCATCATATGTAAATAATTGCTAAACCCTAACTCCCAAATCATATTATTCATCCTATTGCACAAAATAAAAACTAATCCTACCCAATTCTAGCAAAATTAACAGCCAAAACATTATTCACCCAATTCTAGCAAAATTTGATGAATATCCCTCTAAAAAATAATTGCTAAACCCTCTAATATGTAAATAATTGCTAAACCCTCTCATATGTAAATAATTGCTAAACTAAACCCTAACTCCCAAATCACATTATTCACCCAATTCTAGCAAAATTTGATGAGTATCCCTCTCAAAAATAATTGCTAAACCCTCTCATATGTAAATAATTGCTAAACCCTCTCATATGTAAATAATTGCTAAACCCTCTCATATGTAAATAATTGCTAAACTAAACCCTAACTCCCAAATCACATTATTCACCCAATTCTAGCAAAATTTGATGAATATCCCTCTCAAAAATTAACAGCAAAATTAAAAAAAATCACTCCTGAGGGTGTGGGGTCGGTGGGGGTCGATGGGGTCGGCGGCGACAGGGTCGGTAGCTCGACGAGGTCGGCGGGCTAGGGGGGCAGCGGGGTAGGGCAGTGGTAACCACGAGGGAGGGAAAGGGGTTTTTTTTTTGGGGGGGGGTCGG